TGCTGTGCCAGCCCAGAACCAAGATGGCCAACAAACCCGGGAGTGGTGGTGCTGCACACCTGGAATCTGAGCGCTGAAAAGGCTGAGACAGGAGGATCACTGTAAGTCTGAGCTGCATAGCTAGACCCTCTACTAAATAAATAAATAAAAGATTTTTTATTGTTATTTTTATTTTTTTAAAGTCTTTTCTTATGTATTTAGTACAGAATCTACAGGGTCTCACTACACACATCGGACTCATAGTGACTGTCCTGTTTTCAGCCTCCCAAGCGCTGGGATTACAGGCATGCGCCACCACGCCCAGCCTCAATTGCTGTCTCAGCATGCCTGGGTGCAGGGCCAGCACGGCATGCCAGGGATCGAACCTCGGTCCCTGCCTCTGAATAAATGAAAGATTTTTTTTTTTAATTAAAACACAAACTGGAAAACCAGTTGAGCACTGTGGCACACACATGTACGTAATCCCAGCCATTCAGAAGGCTGAAGTGGGAGGATCATTTTGTCTTAAATTAAAGCTCAACCACAGCTAGTGGTAGAGCATTCCTGGATTCAACTCCCAGCCGGCAAGAAAAAATGAAACCAGGGGCCGAGGAGATGGCTCAGTAGGATAAGCACTTGACTGGCAAACGCAAGGATCTGAGTTCAATCCCCGGTTCCACAGAAAAAATGAAACCAAAAATCTAAACCTAACAAACAAAACAACAACCCTGATTGATGGACCTTCGGGGAAGAAGTGCATCTTAAGAGGGGACTGGAAGCGCCTGCTTCGGCAGATACAGGGACTGGGGTTCATCCCCGGCGTGCAGTGCCGGCCCCACCCCCACAACATGCTGAGACAGACTGAGACTAGACATGGTGGCTCACTCCCACAATCCCAGCATGCTTGGGAGGCTGAAAACGGGAGAATCACTGAGTCCAATCTGAGTATTGAGACCCTATAGACCCTGTAATGAGTACAGAATAGTGGGTGGGGGGGGAGGCTTCAAGGCCTCCTTGCAAACCCAGAAGAGGAGTCTGGAGAGGTATAAATCCTCCCATCCCTGTGGAATGTGTTCATTCCAGCCTCAGACCTAGAACCGGGTTAGTGATCTATGCTGCCTTGTGGGACAGGATGGTGCTTTTGCACGGCGGCCCATCTTTCCATTCCAGGACACTTAGCATCCTATGGCCCCTACTTCCTACTCCTTCCTTCCAGGAGTGTCTCCTGTCTCTTCCCTCCCTCCTGCTCCACTCATTAAAAACAACCAAAAGTGCTTCCACAAATTTCTGAAGGAGCCCCCCAGAGAACCAGGGCCACACTGGAGCTCTTGTTCCCAGGCCTGGTTCACGGCAGACATTGCTAATCGACTGCAGAACTCTTTTCCTCAGAGGTGGGACACTGCTTCAACTCCTTCTCCAGCCCTCGCTAATGGAAGTCTCTATGCCTCAGCGGGACTTGGCACTTGGCTGCCACACTGCAAGCCTGTTCATCTCATAAAGTCTTACATGACCTAATTTTTGCACCCTCCTCCTTTCCAATGGTAATCTTACTGGCATATTAGGCTTAAAATAACTTACCCACCTCTCGTGTATTCTCCTAGAAACCAATACCTTCAGTGTCCACCAGGCCACCCAATGTGGCCCTTGGGCCCTCACCCTTTGCCTCGATGCTTCTCCAAGCCACTTCCTGGTTTGCCCTGTCTCCCCCATGCTGCTCCTGTGGCCTCTGCACCGCAATTCACCGCAGTCCTCACCCACAATCTCTTCTACTAGCTGAAATTTGTATTTCTAGCCTAGACTTCTTCCTGAAAGCCTTATAATAACTTCATTCAACCTCTGTGCAACATTGTGGACAAGGTTTCTCTTTCCCTTGCCTCCAGCTTCTTTCACAAACCAGAGAGAGGAACATGCACTGGACAGGACCTTTGCAATGGGGACGTCAGGGGCTTCCTTTACCTTTCCATCGACGGCCTTTTTGGAGAGGAGGTAGCAGAAGACCTGGAGTCCACCGAGTCTCTCCTGAAAGAAGAAAAACTGCAGATTACATGATTTTGCTGGCCAGTGGTAGTACTGATGCCCAAAGAGGCTGGGAGAAGGCGTGCCAGAGTGAGGCTTGGGCCACAGCTGCCCCGGGGAGGGAAGTTCAGGCACTGCTGTCTGCTCATCCCTGCCTTCTCCAGCTAATATCTGCAGCTACATTGCATCTGTCATGTAATTAACTAATTACTCCTAACGAGATCTCTGCGGGCCTCGCAGCCTGGCACACTTTGGTGGCTGCAGTCCATGGGGACCGGATTGCTGAGACTGCCAGCCAAAAACACGAGAGGGATTTCAGGCTTCCCTGCAGGATGCCTTAGGAAGAGGAGAGGAGAAGCCCCCTGGATTTGGAGATAGACAGAAAATTGAAATTAAGATGGCAAGGGAAAAGGCAAGGGAAAAAAACTAGATTTATTCAGCGTCTGAAGTCGCAGGAAAACCAACACCTAGAAGAAAAAAGATGAAAGAAAATGCATACACACGCTATAGCCAGTGGTAGGTGAGAGTGATGATTTTAGAGGTGAAAACTTTTTTTTTTTTCATTTTCCAAAGTGCTGTTAGGGGGCCAGGGAGATAGCTCAGTAGAATAAGCACTTCCTTGGCAAGCACAAGGGCCCGAGTTCAATCCCCAGTTCTAAAAAAAACCCCACCAAAAAACAAAAACAAAATGCTATTAGCTATATTCTCTTTATGAGCTGTAATACAATTTTTCCTTTTACTGGTTTTATAAAATTAATGTCTGTAAATTTCATTTCTCCATCTTCTTGTTCTGTTTTGTTTGTTTTTTTCGGATGGGGCATTACTATATACTCCAGTTTGTTCTTGAACTCACTATGCAACCCAGGCAGGACTCAAATTCCCAGTGACCCTCCTGCCTCAGCCTCCCCAGTCTCCCCAGGGCTGGGGGTTCAGATCTATGGCACCATCTTGCCTGACTTGCCTTGTCTTCTTATCCAATTTTTCTTCTTGTTTCATTTTATGTATTTGGTACAGGATCTCACTATGCAGCTTGGACCCCTAGTGATCCTTCCTGTTTTCAGCCTCCCAACGCTGGGATTACACCATGCCCAGACTCAGTTGCCCGCTCAGCACGCCCCCACAGGCAGGCATGCTGCACCAGGGATCGAAGCCTGGTCCCTGTGCTTGCCAAAGCAGGCACTTAGTCTGCTGAGCTATCTCTCCAGACCTCCAGTTTTTCTTCTAATTCCACAGCATGCATCACCTGCATCACCTTCTAACATTGCTTACTAGAGAAATGTATAACGTAAGATACACAGATATACACCGATTTACAAGACAGGCTTATAGCAGGTGCAAGAGGGCTGTTTGTGTGCTGAAGGATCCAGTCAAAGGCCTGCAGCGCACTGCAGTGCCCCGTGCCGGTCTGTATCAAGAGGCTGAAGGGTCTGCCCTGGATGCCTGTGCTGGATACCAGAAGATTTGTTTTTCCTGTATTTTAGGGAAGGGTCTACAGGGTGTTCAGGGTCTCACTACTAGATTGGACTCATAGTGATCCACCTGCTTACAGCCTCCCAAGAGCTGGGATTACAGGCATGTGCCACCAGGCCCAGTCTCAATTGCCAGTGAGCAGGGGCGGGGCCGGCACACCAGGCCTGGGGATCAAATTCGCGGCCCCTGGGCCTGCTTGCAAGTGTTTTAATCCTTAATCCCCTGGGCTATTTGACTGGTCCTTGAAGGTGAAGACTGTGGAGCTCCTCTGAAGGACCAGAACTGAATCTT